AAGAAGTTAAGGGCCATATTTTCTAAAGTGCTCCGCCTCTTTGGATGCTCAATTACCTGGGGCCTGACTTGTTGAGCATTCGCAATTCCATTTGACCTCAGTGGGGACAGCAGGGTCCTTGTGCTCACTTGGGGCCCAATATTAGGAGTTGTACATGCACAGCTAAAGTTGCCCCTAATGTCTCAGAGGCTGCTTTTCAAAATCTTCACTCCAGTGACTTGACCTGACCAGACAGAAAGTCACTGAGATTGCAGCCCAATTTCCTAGAGCACAATCTAACCCATCTCTGCATGAACATATACCTTTGTAGACCTTCTAAAAGTGAAAGTTTCATAAATATTTTCTTAAGCTCTCAAAAGTAGATACACTGCTAGAAAAGCAAGAAAGATATCCCTACTTCTTCAAGTATGAGAATAAATAAGAAGTTCCCCTCATTTTAAATGGAAAGTCTCTGTCCCCAGCAAACTATGATGTAAGGCAGTGGTGTTCATTTGATACTAACTGAAAGGACACATTTCACTTAAAATAAGGTATGCTACCTTTTGCTCTGCTGACTGCAAACATCATCAGTGGTGCAGACAAATCCCATGTAGGTCCTACCTAGTTTACCAAACTGGATTTTGCCCTATGACATCTAATCAAGTTTAGTGTTGTAACACTCCATGCTGCAACATCTATATCCTGCCTGAGGCCCCTAGTCTGATGCCATTAGTCATGATTGGATGTCTCTCTAGAAAGTGTTGTCTAGATTACCTAAAAATTATGGGCTTGATGCCTAAATTTTGGGGTCTAGTATATAGGAGGTCAGACTAAATTATCATGTTTTCCTCTTTTTCTTTATAATCTGGCACTTTTAATATAGCCCCACTGCATTCTCCATTTTTTTCTATTTTCAGTTGCCTCTTTTTGTTTCCCAGCCCAACTTTGTACTCACCTGTCTGTCAGCCTGATAGGAAGCAGTACAATGTTTCTAAAAGTGACAATCCTTCTTTTTCCTATGATTTCTAATGTCAACTGAGTCCCTTTGCAGAGCTGCCCATCTCGTTTCCACAGAAACAAAAAGCACTGCCAAACAACACTGGTTTTCTGTGTGTGAATAGAAAAAGTGTCCAGGGGGGAAGTTCCCCCAGACAGGCTGAAGAGGTGTTATTGGACCTTCTTACACCTGAAAGAGGCTTGGTCACATAGGGTGGATCTACATGTGCATTTACGCCAGCCTAAATTTACTGTGCAATAAGTTACTGCGCAGTAAGCAGGTATAGGCCAGCATCTACACATGCAAGTGTTAAAGCGTATTAATGCTTTAGTTAGTCCCAAGTCAGTCCACACACACAGTATTACTGCACAGTAAGGCATCTGCACATGCGTTACTGCTCAGTAACTAATCAGGCTTATATTTGATACCTGCATGATGCAGATATCAAATTTAAACTCAAGTCGCCATAAGTTGCCATATTTACTACTCACTATGGGCATGCACGTGTAGACGTGTGTCCGTACTGTCAGTAATTTTAGTTACTGCACAATAAATATGCACATGTAGATGCACCCACAGTGTGTGTGTGGAGACTGGGCGGGGTGGGGGAGGAGAGCAGTAGGATGGAGGTGTGATAACCACCAGTGACCTATTTCCAACTGTGAGAGTTGCATGAAAACCAAAGAAAAAATTGTAGACACAACCCAGCAGGAATTTTTAAGTTGGGAGTGAAAAACGGAGCAGAGCTTAGATGACAATTACCATGCAATAAAAACATTAATAGTCAGCTAACTTTAGCATTTAGGAATGCCAATGTAATTGCCATGCATGAGAGACATTTTTGATGCAATAAAACATGGTATCCTCCAAAACCTTTTCTCATAACTTTGCTTGTATGGTTATGTGTTGATTCTAGAATTTGCTTTTCTTGGTACCTTGTTTATTTGACATTTTTATTAATATTATTAATGTCTCAGGGCATGGGTGGATCTAGGATTTTGAAAAGGAGTGCAGATGATGTGGTGCATCATCGCATATAACACAACATATATATTCCTCCAGTTAAAAAGAAACTAGAGCTTTACTAATATGCTAGAGATGGAGGACTGTATTATTCAAGTTAAGATCAAAGCAAAAATATATCTTTGTTAGAATGTGCATTATTATACTTTACATATAAAATGATAGCAAATTAGATAAAAATAATCAAAAGGTATTGTTTCATTAGTCTTCTAGTCATTAGAACTAAAGTGCATCTCTTACTCATTTTCATAAAACAAAGTCAACTTTCTTAAGTGTCTTGACAGTTCATCCAACCCTTCATTGACAGTTCTTTCAACATTTGAGTTAATGTTCACCTGTTCTCAGAACTGGAGCTAAAAGCAGTTAGTGGGGCTGTGGAATCATTACCAGGAATAGTTAACAGATTAGCAAAATTGCAGAAGAAAGGACAGCTTGATTAATGGAATATAGAGACTCTTGTAAAGGAAAGAAAATTGTTAACACCTGTGAAGTGAAGAAAGATTAAATTGTAATGATCCATGAAGTCAATTGACCCTCCCCCCAACTCTGGCATTGGATAAATAGAAATGCCACTGCTCTTGCTGTACAGATGATTTTAAATTTGGGGTTGAGCAGGAATCAAAGGGGGGAGGGGTGCAACTGCACCTCTACACCCCCCCAACCCAGACGCACTCTTGCTTGGGGACCACTAAGGAGCTGAATAACAGAATTTTCTGCAGGTGAAAAACCAACAGAATATCAATAGCTTGAGAATGGAATTTACTAGGGGCTTATCCAGTTGCAAATGAAACCTACATTTCCTGCTGCATCTTTTCAGGTCATGTCACTTCTTGAGTAGCGGCTATACCACAAGAAAATTAGCACTCATGTTATTCAAAATGGCAACCAAGGTTAAAACATAAACATAAATACAAATATCAAAATACATGTTAGATTTATGACAGAATACAATTACACAGCCCTACAGTAGTTGTAAATGTTCCATTCTTTATCAGATCAATAAAGTAATGCATGCCTGAAATGCTGTGTTAGGTATGTACATGTGCATTAGGGCTGTGCGAAGCTTTGGTCCCTGATTCAATTCAACAGAGATCTGGCCCAATTTGGTGGCTGAATCTCTGAATCCAAATCAAATCAGAGGACCCTTTAATCTCTCCAAATCAAATCGGAACTCTCTGAATTGATTTGGAAAGATTCCAAGACTCAGACATAGAGACAGCTTTAAATGTTTTTTCTACATACCTCTAGGTAGCAGGCAGCTCATGAATGTTGCAGTGCTGGGGCACATGGAGCATCCCACAAGAGCATGAGGGGCTCCCCAGCATGCTTGGCAGCAGGCCTGGAAGTGGACCAGAAGCACTTCTGGTCCATTTTCAGGTCTGCTGGAGAGTGTGCGGGGGGGGGGGGCCCTGTGCCTCTTCAGCTCAGCAACTGGTGCCTCCTGGGTCTGGGGGGGGGCACCCAGGGTCCCCCCAAGGCTCATCACTGAGCCAGGGGGCTTGGGAAGGGCCTGCGTGCTCCCCGGTGAACCCAGAAGTGGAGCAGAAGTACTTCCGGTCCACTTCCGGGTTCGCCACCAAGCATGTGGGGGGCCCCCTACACTCCTGTGGGACACTCCATGCTCCCCAGCATTGCAGCATTCACAAGCCTGGTACCTCAAGGTATGTAGAAAAAACATTTAAAGCTGTGTCTATGTACAAGTCACTGATTCTCTGAATCAGCATCAAATCTTTGGATTCAGCGGAATCGAATCAGGGACAGCGATCCAAATCAACTAATTGAATCACTGTCCCCAATTCGGGCCAAATCTGAATCAAATAGGGCCCACTTCGCACACCCCTGATGTGTATATATATGTGTGTATGCACACACACATGTGCATGCACGCGCACACACACACACTTGCTAAACTTATGCTTATAATTTAATTCCAGAACAATACAATATTGTTGATTACTAAAAAGAAAACTGCTTAATGGGCGTGTCTACACATCACCCTATGTCACCATAGTAAAATGCTACATTGCCATATGACATGCTATGACAATGTAGTGATCATGTGAGTCTACACGTGACCAGGAACAACTTCAGTGTAGCAGCACAGTCCCCCATTTTAGCATGCCACTATGGCGAAGTAGCAGCTAAAACTAACCATGTGTTAAAAGGAAATACTAAAGCATGTTGCAGTAACATCACCAGAGGGCAACGTGTAGATGCGCCCAACATGTCTTACGTATAGAAACACAAAATGCAGTAAGTAATTATACTTAGCACCCCTAAAAAGGCTTCATCCATTCATATATGAACATGATGTCTTCTGATAACATTCTCCTTTGTCCAGGTGAGATCTTAGGATGTATAAAATGGAAAAGGTAAGGTGTAATTATACTGTAATGGCATTTTTACAAATAACATACAATTGGTGCTGTGGTACTCTGGATGCCATGTCTCAGAACTGCATCTCTCATATTGTTCCCTTCTGCCTATGTTAGGGCGTTACTGCAAGTGTATTAAATAAGTGTGGTCCATGCTATTAAAATAATGTAATTGTCAGTCTCTCAAAGCAGCTCACCTCCTCAGTGTCTTCAACCATCACCAGCATGTAAACAGTTCTATCAAATGTGGCCTTTTCAAGGAGAATTTTCATGCCACTATTTTTAAAGTCCTGAAGTGAGTGCTCTTTAAGTTTATTGATCTGCACCACATCACCTAATCATCTAATCAACAGGTCACCTACAAACTGCAGTGTGAATTCAATTGATATACTGCTGTGCTTTCATTACAAAATGATTTATTATGTGCCTAGATATGATTATGAAACAGTTGAAAATATTCAATCAAAAATCTGCTTCTGATGAGAATTTCAATATAACTTTGTTTTACGATTAATTGAACAAAAGAATTGTTTTTCTTAAAGTGGCATTTGGTGTATCAGTGTATGTATTATGGTACTTCTAAAAAAGAACATACCAGATGACATTATTTCCTTTTTTCAATACAGGTAAATGGTTTAACTATGGGATTATCTTTCTCGTTTTAATCCTGGACCTAAATATGTGGAAAAATCAAATATTTTACAAACCTCATGAATATGGTCAATATATCGGTCCTGGGCAGAAAATCTATACAGTGAAGGACTCAGAAAGCTTAAAGGATCTTAACAGAACTAAGTTATCCTGGGAATGGAGATCAAATAATACTAATCCTTTGACTAACAGGACCTATGCTGATGGAGACATGTTCTTGCATAGCAGATTCACGGGTGCTAGTCTTGATGTCAAATGCCTGGCCTTTATTCCATGTTTGATGGCCTTTGCTTTGTTTGGGTTCTTCATCTGGTTCTTTGGGCGATTTCAGAAGACCGATCAAGGCATGGAGAATCTGGACAAATCATACACAAGAATGAAAAGGAAGTCACCGTCAGATGTAGGAATGACACGAGAAAATACACAAGTCTTAGTGGAGGAACCTTCAAGTTTTGAAGAACCACATTTAGTATCCATAAAGTCAGACTTAAGTGAAATTGTCTTTAATTCTTCCCTCCTAACTTCTGAAAACCTGAACTTACAGTTTAGTGAACAAGACAGCCCACTACAACCAATACCAGAATCCTCTGTCCCTAAGAATAATCCTATGACTTAGAACGTATAGTCAGGAAAATAAGATATAAATAACCAATAATTGTAAGAGTTCAGTTTTGCCTTTTGTAAGATAAGGTTTACATAGTGTTTAGAATACATCACAAAGGTGCTCAACATGCTTTTTCTAGGAGTTTTGTTTTCTATTTGTATTATAGTACATGTGCCTACTATATATCTAACATTCCTTTATAGATTGCTTCTTAAAATTGCACAAGCTATTTATTAATTTGTTGACTATACTGTATAATAGTGCATTAGATGATTATTGCAGGTATAAAATTCTACCATGGTGGTGCCTTGAGATATTCAACTGTTTTTAACTCAACCCCGGAAGAGGTATAGCACAGTTCTTCTAACCTATTTTGCAAGGGTTTTTTTTTTTAGATACAGTTATTGAGAGTATTATTTAATGTTCTACAAACAGATAAGGCAGGCACAGTTATTCCAGAAGAAAAGTTCCTGATAAGATGTCACACTAAAAGGATGACTTTATTTACTCATCTATGGAGTCAGTGACTTTGATAGCTGGACTGCAGAGAAGCATGTTGATTGCCTTTTAATTTTTGCTGGCTGGCTGCCAACCACAAATACAGATTTATAAAGTAGTAACAGTAGAGCAATAACAGAGCATGGGTCACTACTTACAAAAATATGACTTTCTCCATCAGCAATTGCAATTAAGTGATAATGCCTAATTATGTTTTTCATAATTAAAGATAAACTGCTCCTTGATTAAAAATCCTGCTCTTCACCTTTTAGAAGCAAAGGTTAAAATGCACAGTTGAAGCAACAGTCCCATTTCCCATCATCAAGACAAACCCATGCAACACCAAAGAACCAATGTAATGATTACAGTGAAGAATACAAAGCTGGTAGTCTCATGTGTTTGTGCAATTTTTGTGTAGTTACTGCTTGGGATACAGTAAATTAGGAACTGTGCAAGGCCTTCTGGCAGATTTACTAAAGGACTGGTGGGGGGAGGGGTCAACGTAAAATAGATTAGCAAGTGGATTGTCCTGTATCTGCTTTTTCCTTTCAAGAATTCTCTGTTAATAAATAATGGAAAGCAGAAGCAAACACATGAAGCAATTGTTTTTTTTTCTGAATTTCTGAAGGGTACTTGGAGTCTGAATCCCTCTGCTACTGACTCAGACTATACACACTAAAACACTGCAAATCTAAAACACCAGAAAGGCTCTGACTTGCCTTTAATTCTCTAAATTGTTGTTCCAAGTTACTAAAAAAATGAGTCATTTTTAAGCCTGAATTATTTTCCTGTCATTTACTGATGTCACTGTATTTTGTCTTTGTGATCTTTTTTATCTCAGTAGTTTGATCTATCTGCTTTTAAGTTTTCTGAATACTGAATTTAGCATGCATAATAAAACTATGCATTTATTATTTGTCACTTGAGAGCCAATTTTAATAAGCATAATTCAACAGTTATTTATCATGGCAGGAACCTATCTTCCATTATTATTCTTCCTTTCTTAACATTTCATCCATGGTTTGTCCTATTTAGATTCATAAATAGTTCTGACATTACAAATATAGACATCAGAATCACTGTAAAATCAAAAGCAACCATTTTCCCTATGAAACATTTAATATTTTATCAAGAGAAGGCTTCCTTTTTAATCAGGTTGGATTGTTATCCATCAGAAATTATAGCTAAAAATAATTCTATTATTAGTGCAGCCTATAAATTGTAAGTGTATCTATTTAAGAAACATATCCAAAGTCAAACACATTAGCTTTTTACTTTACTATTTTGAAGGTGATTGTATTGATGCTTTAGTTCCAATCAAGATTTGTTGTGGACAAATAAAAACATTTGGGAAGCAGCTAGGCTGGATGGCTAATTGATTTTGCAAACACATGCTCTTCTATGTGGCTTGGAAGAAATGCCTCAAAATGCCAAGTCCCTGCTGTGATTTTTTTCTTTGTGTGGGAGTGGTCAAGTCCATTAATATATAAGCTGTAAATTGAAAGACTTACTTGAGCCTTGCTGCCTGCATGATTACATGACTCTAAAGCAGCTGTCACTTGCTTCAGCAACTGATCCACAGCTAAAATAATTGTGTGACCTTACATCAAGTTAATGCTTTTAAGGTCACTGCAAGCCTGCATGTGAGAGAGAGAAAATCAAGTAATCCTGAGATTTTCCATGAGCACTCAAATTAATAGTCAGGCAGAAAACTGTATTCATAGTGGTTTCAGAAGACAGATCAACTGCTGCTATCAACTCTGTACTTTAAAGGAGGCAATTGAAGAGGCACTGTAGTTTTATAGTAATGATCTCCATGTAATTTGTAAACACAGCCTATATTTATCAGTCACAGAAAGAAACATAAAAAAGAACTTATGTGCCTAAAAAGAACCCTAGGACCTAAACCCAGTTCCCTTGCAGTGGGAGAGCAGTTTGTCCCTGAAACGTTAGTAGCAGAAAAAACACAAATAGTGACTACTGGAGAGAGGAGGCAGCAGACAACAGGGAAGGCTCTCCTGCATTGCAGCCTGTCTGTGTAGTAGGCATGGCACTTCCCCAAGCAGTGCCAAGACCCAGGTTCTAGGCTTCTCTCCCTTAGAGAAAGGCCTATCATGTCTTCTGCTTCCCAGCAAAATGCTACAATTGCTAGGCAGGCCCACAGTACTTTCTATTCCTTTTGTTCCACTGGGCAGCCAAAAGGGAAAAGATTGTGGGACCAGAAGAAGCATAAGCAAAAAAGGAGTATGTGTCTTTAGTGAGATGGGCACTGCCCTGGAAAAGAGACAGCCTGGGTTCTGGTCCCTCTTGCTACCTTCAACAGGACAGAAGCTATCTCACTGCTGGGTATCCAATTCATCCAATCACAAGTAAATTCAAAACCACAATGTCCTGCCTCCCTAATTCTACTGGGCTCTTTGGATTATCTTTCCAAGGCACCTAACTCGTGTCATATATTGTATAAGAAGCCCACATGCCAAACACTGGGTTCCAGATTCCTTGCTAGAGGCCAGGCACCTTCAAGTCAGGTGGTACAGTGTGTAACCTGTAGGCATCAGAGGCTTATTGGAACACGCGCAAGCTGATCTGTTACCTAAACATATACATTTCTCAGATCTTTCTAACCAAAGGGCCTTCTCCAGCACAAGCAAGCCTAAATCTGAGAGGAATAGAGAGGTAGCTAGGCATGTTAGTCTGTAGTCTATAAGGTACCACCCTGCTGCCTAACTCATTCAGCAAGGCAAACGCTTTCGTAAGCAATAGCATATTTTGTTAGATGCTATAACAGAAGTAGGGTGTAACTTGCAAAATCTCATGCCCCTTTGAATGAGTTAGTCTATAAGGTGCCTCCCTGCCCTGCTTTTTTGACAGGAATGAATAGTCAGCCTACAGTGGGAAACAAAAAGAACCTCCTGGACCCAATATGTTAGTTGTTGCGAGGAATTTGACATGTCTGAGGGAGGAGGAAAGGTGGTTTAAACAAATACCCTGACATTCATGTCCAAGCCCTCCTCCCCAGTAAGTCTGACCAATTCCCCCTCCCCCTCAATGAACACTGCTGAGAGGAGTATCACATTAAGGCTGAATTATATCTGGTTTGTAAGAAATGTTTTTGGTATAGTTGTTATTTCATTAACATAAATACACTGAACGATATCACGATAAACACTCTATAAATAACTAACAGAGAAAAAGATATCCCAGAGATAAGCCTACATGAGCATAGAGGTGTTTATAAGTTTGCCCTATGAACAGACTCGGTAATTACATTTCTGCTACAAAAATGACATGGATGTAATAACAGAGAAAAAGTGCATTTGTGGGGGAGGGGAACCTTATATATAATATCTGGCTTATGCATTTTCTTAAGTATTTTGGGAAGAAACCACCCATAAGCTAGGTACTGCCTTCCTTGATTTCTGGTGCACCATGAAAATGTTCCAGTATACCTTGGTTCTATCTCTGTTTCTTCAGTTTGTCTAATGACTTTGACCTTACCTCTGTCCCATCCTATAATTTGGAAAAATTAGTGCAAGCCCATTTTTCTCAGAACTCCCAGTGCCTGAGCTAAGTTTTCCTCTGCTTTTGGGTTTTGTTTTGGGGTTGTTTTTTTTTAATTTATCATCTCTCCATCTGTCTCCATCTGTTGAATACCAGAAAAACAGTACCTTTTCACCTTTCCATATTTCTCTCCTCTATAATTTTTTTAACAGTTAAGTATACTTGTCTTATCTGCTTTCTCAAATGACTGTGAGCTGATCTGTATGAAAAGACTGCTTTCTCTGTTTTAAATGTTTCTTTCCTCTCAGTCTAGATACAGTAATTTCAGGTTCACTTCCTGACTACCTTAACATATAACTTCACACAATGTGGCTGCACCTACATGAGACACTGGCTGCACAGTAGCTCATTACTACCATGCAGTAGCATTGAATGGCAAGAAGTATGACCAGTGCCATAGCAAGGTGGGAGGGGCAAGTGGGGCAACTGCTTTGGGTGCCAAAGTGAAGGGTTGCCAACAGGCACCGCCCAGCTGGGACAGGGCATGGGGATGGAGCTGAAAGCAACTCCTTTCCGGGGGGGGCATAGGGATGGGGAAAGGACAGCTCCCACCACTGCCTCCACTCCCAGGCAAGCATGGGGAAGCATATTACCCCGGGATCTGCGTGGGGCAAGGGTGGGCTGCTGCTGCAGGCTTTGCCCTGGGTGCCAAACTTCGTTGCTGCGGCACTGAGTATGAGGCAACACTACTACACAGTTATAAAAACCTATCGCACAGTCAGCATCCCCAAAAAGCCATTCAGTGACAATGAGCTACTGCACAGTCAGTGTCTTGTGTAGATGCGGCCACACTGTGTGAAGTTATATGTTAAGGTAGTCAGGAAGTGAACCTGAAATTACTATACCTAGATTGAGAGGAAAGAAATATTTAAAACAGAGCAAGCAGTCTTTTCATGCCAACTCTGGTTACTGCGCAGTCATTTAGTATTTGTGTATGCAAGCGTAGATGCAGCCAGAGTTATATTCTTTCCTACCATCAATTCTAATATAATAAGAGCCTTAGTCTGTCTGTAATGCTCCAGGTCAACTGTGCATGTGCTGCCCACAGGGTGGATGGCAATTGGCTGGCCCGGAGCATTACATACAGACAGGCAGAGGCAGAGGCGGACCAGGCAGCTGGGGGCAGATGCAGAGGCGGACCAGGCAGCTGGGGGCGTGGCGCAGCATGGCACGCTGCCTGCTGCAGGGCACTCCCTGCCACAGGGTGCAGCATGCGGCCTGCTGCAGGGCGTGGCTGCATGGCACACTGCCGCAGGGCACTGCCACGCAGCATGGCACGCTATGCCACACCTGCTCCCCTCCCTGCCGCCTGTTGTCGGGAGGCATGGCACTGTGCACCCCCAGACCACAGCCATCAAGGAGCGGGAGATGGTGGCAAGGGAGAGGAGGAGAGCGGGCGAAGTGCAACTCCACAGCAGTGTACCGCACCCTGCCTCACCATGCCACGCCAACCACCTGCCCCTCTCCCTGGCCCCTGACTGCCTCCACCCAAGGAGGGGGAGCGCAGAGGGGAAGTGGGGTGGGGCATGGTTGCATGTGGCCGGACACCGAGCAGGGGCAGTGCGGGGCAAAGGGTGGCAGCTACAGCGGCCAAGTGCAAGTTTCCCTGCCCCCCCCCTTCCTGGGAGGCAGTGTGGGGTGAAGCGGTGGGAGGTGGAGGGGGAGGCATATGGGGCCAGACACAGGAGGAGCTGGGGAGGGGGGGCATGTGCCCCCCTGTGACTCCCCCATGCTGCACCTTTGGACAAGCCACTGGGCTCTGATTCCCCCATGACCTGGCCCAGCTGGGGCCCAGCTCATGGTGACTGGGGCCCTGGCCTGGCCGAGTTCTGGGGCAATTGGAGTCTGGCAGCTCCTCCAGGGGTGCAGCGTTGGGGAGCCAAGGGGAGGGGTCATGGCTCGTGGCCCCCTGGTCTGTGCACAGGGGAAGGGCAGGCTCCACCTCTGCTCTGTGCCTCGCTGCTGCTGCTTTGACAGCGGCACGGTGTGGAGCTGAGTCCCACTGCTGGGCAGGCTGCCACACCATGAGGTTCAGGGGCCTCATCCTTGCAGCCAAACCCTGGGTGGGGGATAGCTGCCAGGTTCAGTCAATCAGCTGCTCAGTCAGACTGGGCAGGGGGCAGCACCCAGAGCCATGAGAGAGCCACTCCTGCTTCATCCCAATGATCAGCTGACCAGCAAGACTGGGCAGGGGGCAGCTCCAGGTCTGTTGGCTGTGGTGGCTGTAGCAGGAGCAGTGTTCCAGGTCAGCTCCATCTTCTCTTCCTCTCTTCCTGTACAGGCATCACATGTAACCCTATGAAATCTAGAAGTTCCTCTTTAAAAGTCACACCAGACTGTAGCACTTTCAGCCTCTTTGTCAAGCAAAAAATAACTTGAATGCCTGTATTCTTTTTTCTGTGGTGCTACGGGAGCATATTTTGCACTACAAATGCAATGCCTGTCCATGGCCTAAAATAATAATGCCTGGAATGTGTTCAACATACTGGAGGTAGATGAGGGCATATCGCTTACTTAAACATTTAGGAGTAAATAAATAAGGCACAGAAGTCCAGCTCCATGGGAGTGCTCAAAGGGAAAATGTGGAAACGCTCAAAATTATACAGCACCCTGAAGTGTTAGACCCCAAATCTTTATTGGTCAAAATGGAAGAAGTAGGACTCAGCAGGGCTTTTTAGATTCCACCTCCTTCCCTGCCTCCCCACCCCCCACCCCGCAAAAAAAGGAAAAGAAAGAGTACAAGTAGGCCTAAGGGACTTTCCTCCAGTCTTCCAAAACACCTGCTAGTTTGTTAGG